GCTAGGATCTGGGAAAGCACAGGAAGATGGCCCAAGTCCTTGGGCCCCTGCACCCACATGGGAGACCCAGAAGAAGCTCCTGGCTCCTGGCTTTGGATCAGTGTAGCTCCAACCGTTGCAGCCAACTGGGGAGTGAACCAGCAGATGGAAGACCTCTCTCTGCCTCTCCTCCTCTCTCTGTGTAACTCTGACTTTCAAATAAATAAATAAATTCTTTAAAAAAAAGAAATGACGGTCAAACTGTGAAAAAATGAGAAATACAAATTAAAATTTTGGCAAGTCAAAAATTATGTAAGGCCTTGTTTTGTGAAACAGCAGGCAAACATAATCATCCTATTTGCTCAATTCTCAAAACATAAACCACATCAAAGCAGTCTTCATGACTTCTGCTGCAATTACTCTTTCAGAAACCACCATCAACTAGCACCCATCTCATTTCAACTGATTCTTAAATGGGTTTCCTGCTTCCAAACTTTCCCTACACAATAAGGGAAAATAAAACAGAGATTTCAGAGGTCAGAGATGGATGGACACAATTGCCAACTTGAGGGGTTTTGACACATGGACACTTTCCACTTCAGATATTTGCTAAATTCTGCAGACTGACAGAGCTGGTGTTAAATTTGAAGCAAAATAATATAAAAAGTAGAATAATATTTCACTACTGTCATCTTGCTAAGGAACATAGGCCCAAACAGGGAATAGGACTACATTAATATGAGATCTCAGATGCAAGCAGTGGAAATTGTGATATGCGGGCTGATACCAACTGGTATGACACACAAGTAACCACAGACCCCAGTAGGGAGATGGAGTCTGAAATATATGTAAAAGTGAAATCTAAAAATTTTTAAATCTTGTGAAAATTAGAAATACATAGATCCAAATAACTCCGTCTACAAAAGCTGTATAGTAAATATTAATGTCTCCCCAAAGAATCTTTGCCATTTCCCAGCTCCTGGAAGGGTATATCTTACCCTGTGGAGTGCCTCACCTGATCTGAATATTTTTATTTACTTTAAGGCGTTTGGCCACTTGGACAGTCTATGCTTACAACCTGATTTACAGTGGAGGTCTTCAGTTACATGGTATCAGCCCAATCCCTGAAATGTTTCCCCTCCCATGTGGCAAGGGCAGTCACAGGGAAGCCAACCATTCCTATTCGACTAGACTCCAATAAAAACTGACGAGAAGCTCAGATGAGCTTGTCTGTCACTTTCTGGTGGGTGATGGCCGTCACTGTCTGGAAGAAACAGGCAATGTCCACAGGACACCATTGAGAGAAAACTCGAGGCTTCTGCTGGATGACTCATGGACTCAGCCCTATGCAGTTTACCCCCCTTGCTAATTCTAGTGGGTCCTCTCATAGTAACAAACTGTACTTGTGAGTATGAAGACTTTTCTGAGATCTTGGATTCCTTTGGGGAATTACTGAACTTAAGGGTAATCTTAGGGTCCTACAACAATATAGCTGGTCTCAGAAGCATCATAGCCTTGGGGATGCCTGAACTTCACACAGCAAAAGCACAACATTAAGTTAATTATGCCAATGCATACTGCAATCCAACTGTCAAAAACAGAAAAAAATTCAAAATAAGGAAACAAACAAAAAACAGATCACAAACTATATAAATACAAATTGACACTGGATATTGTAAATATGGGAGTAAAAATTTATTTCGCTCTTTTTTTCAAACTCTGTAAAAAGTCATCACCCAGGGACTTCCATTGTGGCATAGCAGGTAAAGCCACCACCTGTGATCCTGGCATTCCCTATGGGTACAGGTTCATGTTCTGGATGCTCCAGTTCCAATCCAGTTCTTTGCTAATAGCATGGTAAAATCAATGGAAGATGGCTCCCCCGCCACCCATGTGGGAAACCCAGATGAAGCTCCCAGCTTGTAGCTTTGGCTGGCCTAGTCCAGCCCTGGCCATTGTGGTCATCTAGGGAGCAAACCAGCAGATGAAAGATCTCTCTCTGAATCTCTCCCTTTCTCTCTGTAACTCTTTCAAATAAGTAAAATTTTAGAAAGTCATTGGCCAGCTGAAGCAAGAGAGCAACAATGTAATGTGGAGATTAAAACACTTATAAATAAAATGTATGATAAGCATGGTATAGAAGCTGGGAAGAGATAAACGGAAGTATACTACTACGAAGTTCTTACATTATACTAGAAGATGCACCATAAACCAAAGATTAACACTGTGAACCTCGAAACGCACATTAGAAAAGCTACTGAGTTGGTCTTTGCTGCAGTGGTTAAAGACACCTAGATGTGCTATCACTGTGCCTAGGTTGGAGTTCTAGTTCTGCTTCTGACTTCGGCCTCCTGTTCATGGCATCCTGAGAAGCAACAGGTGATGGTTCAAGTATCTGGGTCCATGCCACCCCCATGGGAGACCTGCATTGAGTTCCGGTCTCCTCACTTCACCCTGGCCCATTCCTTGCTACCTCAGGCATTTAGGGGGAGAATCAGGAAATGGAAGAACTCTGTCTCTAGGTAGCTTAGACTTTACAGCCAATTAAGAGTTTATGGACCATACAAAAACAGGAAAATAGCATTCAGGAATTAACGGCGGCTAAGATTGCAGGTGGCTTATTCTTGTACTTTATATCTCCAAAACTATAAGAAAATACAACTTCTGTCATTTAAACCACATAACCTGTACTATTCTGATATGGATCTCTGACAAATAGATCACTTGACTGCAGGAATTTTCAAATTGATATGTAACAACTCCATGGAATTTGTAGCAATTTCTCAAAGGTTTTACAATACGAATCTTCACTATACTTGATAGTACTGTACTGTTTTCCATATAATATGGGAAATATTCAAATATTTAATTAAAAGTAAACATAAAACCAATTGTAGAGAGAATAAGGATCATAAATAGAACTATTATATCGAAAATTTCCTGTCAATTGGGATTGTCTAAGAGTAACATTTTGAATGTAAAAAATATAAAATGATCATATTTGTTTTTGAAAACAGCTTCTGTTCCCTTATATGCACTACATGTAGGTTTTGGAACAAAAATGTTAAAACAAAACAAAGAAACAAAAATATTAGGATATGGCACCAGACAAGATTGAACCTAAGAGTAAGACAGATGTTTAGGAAAAATTACATTTCAGTGGTTTGGATCAAGGCTAGCTGGTAAAAATACTGGATATGAGTTTTAAAGAAGAAAGAAAGATAGGATTTTCATTTGTATTTGTTGAACTTGAGGTATCTTTTAAAAATATTTATTTTTATTTCCTTATTTATTTAAAAGACTGAGAGACTGAAAGGGAGATCAAAGAGACAGGTAGAAACACATTTTCTAGCCACTGACTTACTCCCCAAATAGCCGCAACATCTAGGGCTGGGGCAGGATAAAGTCAGAAGCCTTGAACTTCATCCAGATCTTCTGTGTGGGTGACAGGGACTTAATGATTTGAATCCCCTTTTGTTGCTTTCCCAGGCACATTAGCAGGAAGCAGCATTCAAAGCAGAGCAGTTGGGATTCAAACTAGTCCTCCAGTATGGAATGCTGGCTTTGTAAGCAAAAACTTAACTTTCTGTGCCACACACCAGTCTAATGTATCTTTTGGAAAGCTACAGAAACAATTCACCAGGGAGTAAGCTTATGGCCTAAATGCTGGGGATGAGGTCCAAGCTGTAAACAATTGGAGTGTCAGACTATATAGAAGGCCAAGTTAATCAAAGAACACTGCAGAGTAGAATGAACTGAGAATCAGATGAAACAGCTGGGTGAGCCATGTTAGGAAGAAAGTAGAGAAATTCTGAGAGGGTGCTGGTGCTGTGGCATAGTGGGTAAAGCTGCCAGCTGTGCTGCTGGCATCCCATATGGGCACCGGTTCGAGTCCTGGCTGCTTCACTTCCGATCCAGCTCTCTGCTGTGGCCTGGGAAAACAGAAGAAGATGGCCCAAGTCCTTGGGCCCCTGCACCCACGTGGGAGATGCAGAAGAAGCTCCTGGCTCCCGGCTTTGGATCGGTGCAGCTCCAGTTGTTGTGGAACCAGCAGATGGAAGATCTCTCTCTCTCTCAGCCTCTCTTTCTCTGTGTAACTTTGACTTTCAAATAAATAATAATAATAATAATAGAAGAAATTTTGAGAGAAGAAAAGAAAGCATCAGTGAGATTATGATAACTATTAACAAAGAAGAATTTCCGAGTGAAAAACATGGGCAGTGATTTCAAACATGGCAAAGGATTCCACGAAGGCAAAGACTAGGGAATAGTCTTTAAAACTAACTATAAGTTACTAGTAAAATTTTGAAGAACTGGATTGAGTTGAATTGAATCAAGGCTACATCAAATGGGTTAAAGTGCAAATGAGCAATGAAAATATTTGCCCAAAAATATAACTGTGGGCCATCTGTGGTAAAATCTACAATTAGACTGGCTGAGGGAAATGCATGGAGAGTTATTTAAAGACCTGTTGCAGATTCTATCCTAGATCCATTTTTGGTTCTCTCCATGAATCAAATACAACCTTCCAAATGCTATCCAAGCTCACACTATTATAGCAAGTCTTCACTGCATGTAGGTATTAGAATAAAAATGTAAAGGCACAGAAACAAAAGTAGCAACACTTGACACCAAATTAGGAAAAGGATTAAGTTACTGTTACCACTGCAGTGTTGCGAAGTGTTCATTTCCACAGTGGTAATAGGATACTGTCTGCTACATCAAAGTGACCAATAAATGTTTCAGACTAAATATCCCATGTGAATTTAGTATATTCTCCTCTTAAGGTCAACTTTAACCAGGTAACAAAATAAGTCTTTTTGCTATGGTACAAGAAAAAACAATCAGCACTCAATTTTGATGGTTCTAAGGGCTTATAGCCACGCAAATGTTATCGTGTTTATGTATACTTCTCTGATAGTGAATACTCCGTATTTTTCTTTTCCATTTTAATTAATGAACCATCATAATGCTCCTAAAATACAGTGTAAAACAAGTTGAGGAATAAACAAACAACTTACTGGTGATGTATCCATTGTTTTCCTTGTTCTTGCAAACAGGTAGAGGACTCTATAGAGTTATACCTAGAAAAGAAAATGAATGGAGGGATCTGTGAGAGAAACAGTTTGGTTTGATCCTATGTTCTATTGCGCAAACAAGATCATGATTAAAATTAACAGAGGATAACAGACACATTAGCTGGATAAAATAATACCAAAAAGCCTCCCGGGGGAGGGGGGGTAGCTTTACATGCCTGAGAAGGGGCAGGAATGATCTCATCAAAAGAAAATACACAATTTTATCAATTGATATGATTAAACATGAGTTATCATTAGCTTAATGGAAACTTGTTACTGATTTTGTAAAAATTAATGTTAATGCTAAGAAATAATTAAAAAACTTTAATGGATGGTTGTTCAAATAAATTACAGTACACTACAGGAAGACACATTATGCCAATATGTGTCTAAAACTTGCAATATAGAAAAAAGTAGATGGTATTAACTATTTTCCTGCTAATACAATTGTACTATGAATGGCCCATTTTTCATGATTCCACTAGAACATGCCTTCTTTTTATAAACACCTAAATTTCAGAGAAAATATTAATATTGCAATCCAACATATTTTTCCAAAAATTATACAGAGAAAATGGACATAAAATACAATATGCTTTTCTAGTAATTGTTCCAAATGACACACCTCCTTACATGTGTATCTTTACTGAGGACCTCCACACAATGATTTTGAGTTCTTCCATTTCTCTAGCTTTAGCCAATGGACATCAGTAAATGTAATGGAAATACAGTTTTTCAAAGTATTTGCAGAGGCCAGCACTGTGGCGTAGCGGGTGAAGCTGCCGCCAGCAGTGCTGGCACCCCATATGGGCGCCTGTTCAAGTCCCGGCTGCGCAGTTCCAATCTAGCTCTCTTCTACAGCCTGGAAAAGCAGTAGAAGATGGCCCAAGCCCTTGGGCCTTTGCACCCATATGGGAAACCCAGAAGAAGCTCCTGAATCCTGGCTTCAAAGTGGCACAGTTCCAGCCATTGCGGCCATTTGGGAGTAAACCAGGAGATGGAAGTCCTCTCTCTCTCTCTCTGTCTCTGCCTCTCTGTAACTCTGCCTTTCAAATAAATAAGTAAATCTTAACAACAACAACAAAAGAGTATTTGCCTATTTGAGTTTGCTTTTTTTGGGATACTGACTTATCTTGTGACGACGCCTGTTGGAGAGTCAGGCCCTACCCAAGAGCCAGCACAAACCAGCACACACGAGTGAAGACATCTTCAAAGAACCCGCTGCCGTCTGGGCACCAGATCCCTGAGCCCTCACTTGTGATCTCAGGCAACACTTGGAATGAACCTGTCCACACAGCTCATTCTATAGTGCTGACTCACAATTACAAATAAAATGGCAATGTTTTTAACTCAGGGAGCTTTTTTCGTTTTGTTACACATAAAATGCTGATGCATATTGGTGAAAAGGGGAGAAAAGATTGGATTATGTGCCAAATGCAATCAACAGAACTTCACAATCACACCTACAAATTTTCACAAATGTGATAAATGCCAACCAGATGGCTGTAAGTAACGATGTTGGCATTAACAAAGGCCTTGTGAACACAGGAAGAAATTCTCTGGAGATCCTAGGACTAGGTTTCAAAGCTTTACTGATATGTGATCACTATATTCTATTCTACTTATATTTTAAGAAGGTAATTTGCCATACAAGTGTGATTCTAGGGAAATTTAGCTCATTAATTTGCTTAGCATTAATGAGTTTCAAGAACAGAAAATCATATAAGTGGAAATGATTTTTCTACTGACATTAAATGAGAAAAAATGTACTATAAATATTTTAGGCTCCACAGTAAGTCATGAGGGGGAAATGATAGGCATATTCAAGGAAAATTCTTCTCAAAAATAGATGGAAGTTTTTAACTAATTGTGGCAAAATAGAGAAAACCAGTCAGAAAATTAAGGTGCAAGTCACGTGACTATGGGCAACCCATTTCTCTCCTGAAGCACAATCTGTTTCATCTTTCTTAGGTGGAAATGCCACGGCAAATCCTTCCTGAGATACCAAGAACTATCAGAATAGAGGCAGCAGAAGCGTCTCTCTAGATACTAAATGAAGACTAGGTTTGAGACGGGTCCAATTCTACAAATAATGAGAGCTGAATGAAGCAATCTGACGGTGCCAGGGATCCACAGACACGGATTCTCAGATATTACAGAATATTCCTCCATGCAGGCCACACCCTAAGACCCCTCTAGTAATCTCCTAGGCCCCTGCCTACCCTTCTGAACCCACTATCATCTCTCCTCGAAAAGTTCCTGTAAAACTCGCAGTACCACTCAGTAGCTGACAGATTACAGATGATGCGGCATCACTCAAATCTTGCTTACTCTGCGAAGCAGAATCAGTAGGTGTCTGGGCCATGCAGAGCTGGGATCTCCACTTTTCCAGGACACTGTGCCTCTGTCTGCAGCACTAGCGAGGTTCAGGGCAGGAATTGCTGGTAGAACTCCTGCTCAAGAAGCCCCCTCCTTCACACGGCCTAAACTCTCTTTTATTCCAAAGGAGAGGGAATCAGCAACATCCCCTGGCTCCCCCACCCCCACGGAACACAAGAAGGAAACCAGAACTTCCACTCGCTGAGGAGCCACCATGAAGGCCCACAAATACCAGCCGACACGGTGAGGCTGCAAATACGCCGCAGTAACGTCTCCGGGAAGTCCCAGGCATTCACTGGGATCGTTACCACGGTCACCTTACAGACGAACAAGCCAGGGTTATCCACGTCTGCGACAAGATCCCGCAGTGCCAGAGCCAGAGCCAGAACAAGGACACACACTCCACACATCCCGCTCACGCCATCTGTTCACCCACACCCAACGCTGCCACCCTCCCGCCTCGCCTCAACCGCTCCATTAGCAAAGCCTCTGGAACCAGCTTCCACGCACTGGGAGGAACACTCCCTATTTCCTGGCAGTGTTTTGTCTCCTGAAAAACGAACCGCTGAAAGCACAGCCTGAGTTGAACAGGCTGCAGAATTCCGACCCTAGGGACGGGTCCTGAGACCCAGCCCAGATCGGCCACACGCACCCGAAAAAGTCAGATTCCGCCCCCTCTGAGATCCACCGGTGTTTCTGAACCCAATTACTACACCCATCCCACTTCCCCGGGCTCCCCAAGGCTTGCAGGGACCGTCCTTTGTCCTCACCAACCTTCAGGGACGGAGTCCAACGCCACCGCCTGCAGAACACCCTGGACAGAGCCGAGCATCTGGAATTTCCCGGAGGAAGATGGCGGGGGTGGGCGGGGAGGCACATGCGCAGAAGGAATCTGGAAGTTTTCCCAGGGCCTCGCATCGGTGAAGTCGTCGGAGGTTGGGACTACATTTCCCACAAGCCCATGCGCCTCTTTGTTAGGAAACGGAGACCACGATTCCTCCAGCTCCGGGGTTGTCAGCCGCGCTGGCTGGAGACCAGCTGTGATGCATCTGAACCGTTCTCTCCGATGTCACAACCACTTGTAATTTTCACTCTTTAATAATTCCCACTTGGGTGCCGGTTTTGTGGGGGCAGTGCGTTAAGTTGCCACCCATGACGCTGGCATCCCGTACGAGAGCACCAGTTCAAGTCTTGGCTGCTCTACTTCCGAGCTGGCTTTCTGGCAGTGTACGTGGAAAAGCGGTGGAGGATGGGCTAAGTACCTGGACCCCTGCTGTCCACATGAGAGACCTGGCTGGAGTGCCAGGCGCCAGTATTCAGACTGGCCCAGCCCCAGCTGTTGTGGCCATTTGGGGAGTCAAACAGCAGATGGAAGATCTCTCTCTCTTTCAAATAAATAAATAGACCTTTGAAAAATAATTCTCACTTGGACAGATTCATGTTTGAAAGAATCATGCTTCTAATGGCGAAACTCAAATATGGTGAAGCATTTAATAATTGCCACCTGCTTTATTTTTGTAGTTATCATAATTACATCGCAGTTGTAAGTCCCACATCCACTTCTACAGATGCTTACTACACGGAAAAATTACAATGATTGCTTTACTTTGAAATGGTTAAATAAGAAACTAATATTCCTATGGTAACTGCTAAACTTTCAAAAAGATGCTTTATCTCATCTGCTAAAATAGCATGTGACCCAACCACGGATCACATTCTACAATGTGAAAAATCTATTCTAGTGCAAATACTGAAATAAAATAGCTAGGTGAATGAATTCTGAAATGATTGTGTAAATTTTAAAAGTGTCTCTGTCTGTAATTACTTAACTATAAACTCCTGAAATTTATCACACCCATCTGTCTACATTTCTGGAAAAATCTCTACTTATTTTTCTTAGAACTAGGCTATAAGTATGTCATCTCTTTGCTGGTTTCTGCCACAAAATAGGCAAAGAGGTCAACACAAGTGTTTCACAGAGTTCTTGCTGCCCTATCTGCTCCTAAAAAATGAGAGAATGTGGCCTTCAGTGGTGATGCAGTTAGGGTACTGGCTCTTAGTTGATGACTTATCCCTGGTTTTCTCTATGCCTAAGATATGGTTTGCCCTATTCAAATTCCTATATAATCTAATACCCTATAGTTTTTCCTCAGTGACCTTATTCTGCAAACAAAAGGATTTCAGTCTTGAATTTCCCATCACAGGTAGCACCAACAGAAGCAACTGGGCACTGTACATATCACTCTCAGGGTCATATTCCTTGAAATATAAAATGAATTTTTCAGGGCTCAAATAAGTAGATAGGCTCCTTGGAGTAGTAATGCCTCATGTCCTCTTCAGGAACAGATGCTTATATCTGGGGGCGTACACTTCTGCCTGCAGGAGCTGCTCTACTGGGACTGGAGGTGTGGATTCCATGGGGATTCCTGAGAACAGAGAAAGGGGAAGCCCACGTTCAGTGATTGTCAGCTGACCTTAAGTAACTGGCATCTTTGCTCTGGTCCTAGTCATACCTTATGTGTAATGATTGGAGTGCGTGATTTTGAGAACCTAGTCAGTAGCAGGAGTTCCATCACTTAGTTTGTACCAAATGCAAAAGAATGTATAATATAGTCCTTTAGTAAAGATTAATTCACAAGGATTAGGATCGGAGGTTAGTCTTCTCCTACTTACCACCAATGAAAATGTATAGTCATGTAACTGTGGTCTCTGATTATGTTTTCATTTATAGTAATTTAATTCAGTTAAATAATTATTTTTAAAAGGTGAACAGGTAAGATTAATATAACCTTTCCTCACAATCTTTTGAGGGTCTACAACATAAGTCAAACCTTGTTATTAGTCCAGTTTTAAATCCATATCTATACATAACTATAGAGTATATCATATACAAAGGAAGTCAGCTTTTACATGGATTTGAATTTGGAATATTACTGTATAAACTATTGCATATGAAGTTTGAAATAATTCAATAAAGACTTTGTAAATTATCAAGAATAATATAACTTCCTCAAGCAGTTTTATTGAGTTAAGACTATTATTCACTTATGCAATTCATCCATTAAAAATACAGAATTCAAAGGTTTTCACAGAGATGTGTAACCATAATCAACTTTAGAATATTTTTATCACCTCAAAAAAAAAAAAAAAACCTGCATGGGTTGGCACTGTGGCACAGTTAGTTAAACCTCTGCTTGTGACGCTCTCATTCCATATTGGAGTGCTGGTGTGAGTCCCAGCTGCTCCTCCTGATTTAACTCCCAGCTGACATGCATGGGAAAGCAGTGAAAGACGCCTCAAGTACTTGGGCCCCTGCAACCCACATGGAAGACCAAAATGAACTTGCTGCCTCCTGGCTTCAGCCTGGCCCAGACATGGCTGTTGTGGACATTTGGAGAGTGAACCAGTGGATCTCTCCCTCTCCCCCCACCCCTCTCTCCCTTTCTCTCCCTCATTCTATCACTCTGCCTTTAAAATAAATAAATATTAAAAAAAAAAACTCAATAACCTTTAATTGTTTCTTCACTATTTCCCATCCCACCAAACCTAAGCAAACACAGTGTGCAGTTTCTATAGCTTTTTCTACTGTGTACATTAGATATAATTAATGGTGAGATCCAAGTGTTCTCACGCTTAATTCCGAGACCCCATCACTCAAGTGGTCTTACCTACCTCTCAGCTCTACTCACCCAGAACATAGTCCTGGCAATAGGAAACTAGGAGCGGGAGGAGAAATAATGCTGTCCAACCCCTCAGAAGGCTTTAGAGCACTAATTGACAGCTTTGAGGAGAGGGAACCCTGTGTATTTAGCTGCACTTGTCTGGAGTTGATTTCCTGTTCCACTGAGGAAGGAAAAGGGAGGGAGGTAGCAGGTCTGGGTTGAAATGCCAGGAGTCTCCATGCTATTATTCAATCTTAGCAGAATTTCAATAATAAATATATCTCATTGCTATATATCATTTTAAATATTTAAAAACTATTTTTAAAAAAACTTTTTAAGGAATACAAATTTTATGTATTTCATATATACAGATTTAGGTAGATAGTGATTCTTCCCACCCTATTCCGAATTATTTTTAAAAATATTTTTATGTATCTGAAAGGCAGAGAGACAGAGATCTTCCACCTTCTAGTTCAGTGCCCGGTCGCTCACAGTATCTTGGGCTAGGCCAGGACGAAGCAAGAAGTCTGGAACACCAGCCAGGTCTCCCATGTGGATGACAGCATGCAAATACTCAGGTTGTTACCTGTCATTTCCCAGGCTGTGCATTAGCGGGAAGCTGAAATCAGAATCAGAGCTAGCACTTGAACCCAGGCACTCTGATAAGAAACAGGAGCATCCAAAGTGGCATCTTAACAACTGAACCAAATACCCACATCTCCAGTTTCCAAAGACTTGAAATGATTGCTCTGTTTTTACATACTACTGAATGAGGGTCCAAACAGCTACTCTCACTGTCAGGTAGAAGGCTCCTGAGGAATCATGCATAACTACTGGTTGCCTATAATTGCCACAAGGTAATAACACATTAACTAGCAAAAAGAATTAAAACTTAACCAGTTGTCAATATCATGTGAATGAGTTACATGATTAATTTTGTGCTTTGCAGGCTTTGCAAGTGATTTTACAGCACCTTCTCCTACCTGGCTCTAGAGAGATTAAATTGTGTCTGATAGAAATAGTAATCAGGCTGTATGGCTTGAATCAATATTAACCTCCCCCCTCCCCCCTCCCCCCCCCCCCCCCCCCCCCCCCCCCCCGTTAGAAACATTTTTAGTTTAAGGAAATTAGCTAACCCGCTGAGCAATTCTGAGAGGCATTATTATGTGGTCTGACCACTCCAGGCACTAAATTCCTGGATGAAACATTCATTGTATACCCAGGTCATTTGGTTATTGATGACAATGCCTGAGAAAGTTTCATTGGAAGGTAATGAAATAATTAATTGAAATGCAAAGAAGCCAACAGTCCAATGTCATAGAACAGTTGAGTTGAACAACTAATACTCTTGTTCTGATTCTAGGCTTATCAAAGTCCTAACAAATTGGTTTTCCATACAGTTCACTTACAGGGTAGGGTGATAGGAAAGCTGGTATCTGCTTTATCCCACACCACATTCTTTCTTTATAAGTGACCTAGTGGCCTGAGAACTTACTAACTTCATCTCTTATGAGCTAGATCAGGGTGAGTCAGCCTCCCTGGTCCAGCCAGTCTTGGACAGTGACAAGAATGACTTGTGGGTGTGTAAGCTGGTGGACTGTGTCCTAGACATTGGTAAATCAAAGCCAGCACTACTTGAATGATTAATCAGCTGTCCCTTGCCCCAAAAGACAGCCAGATGTGACTGCTCACTTCTGTTTAAAACATTTATGCCAACACCTGAGTTCTCAGAAGAATAGCATTTCCCATCGAATCACTTCAATAAGATTGTGTGACTCAATCAGCTACTTGTGTAAGAAGACAACTGCTTTACACAAATTCTCCACAAAGTTATATTAAAAGGAAAGGGGAAGAAATTTTAATCAAACTATACTACATGATTGGCATAACTGTTTCAAGTAGACACAACCATCGTGTAGACTTAACTACTGAATCTGAATATTATTCCATTTATGAAATAAACAGATAACAGTTACCTAAATTAGTCATGGAGAAATGGAGAAATATGTTGTCACTTGATTTTACTGTTACCAGGCAGTCTAGAGGGCTCTGCAAGTAGGGCTCAGTGCTGGTGTTCTGGAATCTTCTCCAAGGTGCTCTGGCCACAAAGAAGCGGCTTCTGCTACATGGCCTAGTTTCTAATGGTCCATTTTCCAGTGCTTGTGTAATTTCATTCACCATCCCCCTCCCTGTGTGTTTCATGCCCAGTATAGCTCAGGATCTGGCTCTGTTGCCA